GAAGTGAGGTTCTTACCCACGAAAGCTTATGCTCCCAGTACTTCTGTTAGTCTCAAAGGTGCCACAGGACCCTCTGTTGCTTTTTACAGATTCAGACTAACACGGCTACCCCTCTGAAGCAGAGGGAGTGTTCCTTGAGGTATTTATCCCTCATTTTTATAGTGTCAGTCCCCCTCTTGAAAACATTTCCAGCTGAAATTCAGGACAGAGAGCAGGTTGCCCAACCTACTGACCCTCCGAGCCACATACGGCAATCTTCAGAAGTTCGAGAGCCAGGGCACACCTGCCAGGACTCAGTGCTTCACCCCCATTGGAGGTGCCTGCTGGGGCTCTGGTTTCAGCCCCGCTCCTGCTGAAGCCCTGAGACTTCTCCCTCCCTGCTGGGCCGAAGCCCCTGCCCCACTCCCCTACTGCAAGGCAGAGGCCCTGAGCTCCCCCACGAGTCTGATAAGCAGAGAGTGGGGATGTTGTGGGGAACTCCAGGAGCCGCACTTTAATGGTAAAAGAGCCGCATGCAGCTCACAAGTCACGGTTTGGCCACCCCTGACATAGAGATCCTATAGGGAAGGATGTTCCCTGCTGCTCTTCCTCACTGGTTGGAGCGTCTTTTGTTTCCCTTCCTGCTTGATGACTCTGTTTATTGCTTAAATGCAAATTAAGCAGAGCACGCAATCCTTTGTTTGACACAGACCTGTTTGCCAACCTCAGTTTGGAACATATGTTAAAATCACCATACAGGGGAATCTTATAATGTCACAGACAATGTTGCCTCACACATTTTATCAGGACAATACAGACCAGCAAATATGAGTTTTCAGATGGTACCTCACAAGGCACACTCTATACAAAGATTATTACAACAGTGAGCAGGGTGTGGACACAGGGGTGCATTCTGTCATGGCCACCCTGCTGGGAGAGGCTGCGACTGAAGTGGCTGGGGCAACCCCCATGCATCCACAGCCAGTACGTCTGCCCTGTTTCCTACAGGGTCTCCTCCTGGGCGAGGCTGGGAACGGAGTAACTGGAGCTCCCACACAGCCAGCGCTCCTGCCTTGATCACTGTGGTGGACCGGCTAGGAACTATTGGGACAAGAGCACTGAGTTTCCCTTCTGCCGAACAGAGTGTGCATTCTTGAAGCCTACTCCAGCCGTCAGTGTGGTGCTTGTCAGAGCAGCAGGTCCCTGTCTACAGGAGTGAGTCAGATTGCAATGAGAAGCAGTGCCTGCTGCTACCCCTTTCCCTAGCTCAAGCGGTTGGGCCAATCAGGCTATTAGTAGGAGGCCTATTAGAACGAGCATTGCCAGCAGATCAAGGGAAGTGATTATTCCCCTCTATTCGGCACTGGAGAGGCCACATCTGGAGTATTGTGTCCAGTTTTGGGCACCCCACTACAGAAGGAATGTGGACAAATTGCCGAGAGTCCAGCAGAGGGCAACAAAAATGATTAGGGGGCTGGAGCACATGACTTATGAGGAGAGGCTGAGAGAACTGGGATTATTTAGTCTCCAGAAGAGAAGAATGAGGGGGGATTTGCTAGCAGCCTTCAACTACCTGACGGGGGGTTCCAAAGAGGATGGAGCTCAGCTGTTCTCAGTGGTGGCAGATGACAGAACAAGGAGCAATGGTCTCAAGTTGCAGTGGGGGAGGTTCCAGGTTGGATATCAGGAAACACTATTTCACTAGGAGGGTGGTGAAGCACTGGAATGGGTTACCTAGGGAGGTGGTGGAATCTCCATCCTTAGAGTTTTTTAAGGCCCAGCTTGACAAAGCCCTGGCTGGGATGATTTAGTTGGGAATTGGTCCTGCTTTGAGCAGGAGGTAGGACTAGATACCTCCTGAGGTCTCTTCCAACCCTGATATTCTATGATTCTATTTCCAGGTCTGGTCCACAGGGTAGCACTTCTCAGATTTGCATTTTACGCCCCTATGAGATACTCAGCTCGGGACAGACACCTGCAGATGCCCACTGGACAGTCAATGCCCTACCTGGTTCTCATGCACCTCAGGAACCAGAGACTGTTCTGGGCTTTGAAGAACCCAGACTAGCTAAGAGCAGAGCCTAGGGCCCCCGAGTACCTGGAACTCCATCAACAGCTGCAATGACCCTGACCTCAGCGATTCAACACCTGTCTGGAAGGGAGTTCTCATTGACACCAGTTGCCTCCATTTACCTGAACTTCACTAGACCCCTCACTTAGGCTCCTCGCTTACTCAGACAATTGGCCCTGGAAAAAACATTAAAATGCTGCCAACTCAATGAAATACTTCCAGGGGATTGGATAGGGGAAGGGGGCTGAATTTATTTTCATGCCTAAGGCCCCAGGTTAGCTTAACCCTACCATGCAATTCAGTGCAGATTGGTGTCAACTCATGGGCAGAATTTGCATCCCCTTCCACATTTTCAGGCACCATCTACTAATTGGCCATGGTTTTCCACATGCAGCTGAATGCTGCTGACTCAGATGGGCATTTCCAAGAGTCGGGGAATCAGCTAGAGCAACTGGCTCACTGGAAATCCCAGTAGTTCAACTTCTGTTACCTGACACAAGGGCAAGGAAACGTTGTAACAAGATTGAGGAAAAAAGCTCAAATCTCAGCTCACTAACTCCTGGAAAACAAATCCACTTACCCTCAGAGTTCTTATCGGCATCAAATCTTTGTCCACAGCCCTTGTTGTAACACAGCAAAGCCATTTCCAAGGCTCGAACAATTGTAACTCCTGCCCTGTGGTGCAAAGGGCCTGTGCACACTTTCCTGTCCCTGCGCTGATTAATTACACTGCTCTGTAAAGCCTGCAGCAGAGAGGCTGGAAGGAGAGATGGGCTGGTTCTATCTTTAGGCACAGCCAGAGAGGAGCGGTCTGGCAATCAGAGAGCAACCCAAAGATGGGCACACAGGCCCAGCAGCTGAGCTGGCTGGACATGTCTGTCAGCTTCAAGTGTCACTGTCTGAGCAGACATTTCTGTCCTGCCCCCCTCCTGAGAGGGGAGGGCCCACAGCAACTGCAGGCGGGGAAAGGAACAAAATAAGACAGAAGCCAAATTTATCCCTAGTGCAAGCCCACAAACTTCCATGCCCTGGTGTGAATAATGACATAATCCCTGTGCTAGGAAGGCAGCTGCTGCAGCCAAGGTTATGTTCAGTCAAAAGGCCTTTCTTTGTCCTCCTAATCAGTGACTCCACTGCACAATCACTCATCTTGCAGCAGCACAATTTTTCCAATGATCCGCTCAGTCTGACTTTTGGGAAACCAAGCTGGGTTCTTCTCCCTGCCCCGCCGCCATCCCTAAGAAGAATGTAGCTAGTGAATCTGTTGTGGAGTCCAGCACATCCATTTATGTGAGTGTGAACAGTAAGCAAAGGTTGATGTTATTTATTACACGTACAGTGTCATTGGTGTGGGGGTGGAGGAACATCCTTAGACTAGCAGACAAACAGTTTAAATGATGCTTAAAGCACAATTTCAGTCCCAGTCCAGGTGTGTAGCCAGGCAGTATTAGAACGGGGCTTGGGCAGGTGCTACTTTTACATTAATATTTTCTAATCATATCCCTACTTTTAATTCCTTACACAGTGACAAGGAGGAGACTGGGTTATGAGGCAATACATTTAAGTATCCTGAACTTTACTAATAGGAAAAAGAATATTTCCAGCAAGTGATTCTAAGTCTCAACCTTGGTGTATGGAAATATTTGGCCAAGGACAGAGCAGGGTTCAGATAATCCAAACGTTACAGAAAGAACCAAAGGTTTCTAGCAAACCAAGGGAAGAGACATTCCAGAAGGTCCCAAGCGCATGCGTCGAGCCTCCTGAGTGACACAGCTGTTCCAATGACTACGGAGGCTGGGGGAGGAAGGTGCCAGCTATTACTAGATACACAGATGTCAGTGTACAAAGGCACCAGCTGGCCTTTCGCAAAGCACCTCAGACAGGGTCTAGTGAAATCCAGCCTGGATGGAATGTGCTGTGATAGAGACGGCAGTGTCCAGCATGTGCTTGGGAAACCTCACTGAATTCAGTGCAAGTATCTTTGGGGGTCATTGTATTAAATGCAAAGTTTATGTATTATTGTGGGCCAGGATTGTATGTAACCTCTTGTAAAGGGTTCACTTACTGCAGGAGTGCCGCCTCATGGCCAGGCATGGCATAGCAACTGTCTTCCCACATGGCACCCCCTGCTAATGGCTGTTCTATCACTACAATGGTCTCTCTCCCCACAACTTGTCCCTCTGGACAGATCATGCTTTTGTCCACCCCTCCCAGGGTAACAGAGCGTCTAATGACCTTACAGCAGGTCTTCTGTCTGCCTCTGGGCTCTTTATACCCCTTACCTCATGGGGTTTCACCCCACCTTCCTCAGCGGTTGGTAGGGGAACCCAGGCCCACCCTCTACTCTGGGTTGCAGCCCAGGACCCACTAGCTGGCAGCCAAGGGTCCCTCAGAGTCCTTGCTGCCCCCCCGGACCACTTCGTACCTCTTCTATACCCCACTGAGTGACTGAAGACTCTCCCCCTGCAGCCCCTTTCTGCTGCAAATTTCCTGGCTTTATAAGCACTACCCAGCCCCTCCCCAGCTGTGCTCCATCTTCAATCAGGCCCAGATTAATCCATTCAGGGCTTGTGTGGAGTACACACCCCATTGCACCTCTCTAGGGGGGAGATGTGATCTGAGGCCTGCAAGTTCAAAGGACTACCACTGAAAATGTGCCAGACAAGAATGGACTTTTGGACAAGAATAGACAATAAGCATTAAGTGGGTTTCCTGTAGAGTATCTGGAAGGCGGGGGGAGGGTTGGTTAATGCAAATTCCCCACTTCTGGTTATGCACAAACCCTGCCTTTTGAAGCTATGCCCTGAGGGGCGGGTCTTTGACTGCTGGTTACCTGTTCCCGAAGATTAGAGATCAAAGGCCCAAGCTGTATAAAGGAACAGATGAACTGCCCAGCTGGTCGTTCTGGTTCAGAATTTGAGATAGTCATGAACTTGCAGCCCTGTGGGTTTTGAAGGACTGATGCCCACCAGAACTTGCGGCTGGAGACGGAGGACCGCCGTTGAGCATTTAGAATGTGTGAGGGTTTTTTATTGTTTTCTCTGTAATGCTTTCACCTTAAGAATAAATGTGCTTGCTTAGAAAGATGTGTGTGGTGACTGGTGATTGCTGGTAATTACTCTGTTCACAGCCTCAAGAGAGGAAGCAAAGCAAAGCACAGATACAATTTAGAAAGTCTCGCTTGCTGGGAATATCACAGTGTAGGCAAGGAACTCTGCAGCCTGGAAAAATCCCAGTCTGGAGGGAGAGAGACATGAGTCTCCACCCAAGAGAGGTGACAGATGATGATCTGGGAGACTAGAGTGGATCCCTTGGTGGACCACAGAGGGGAAATACTGGTGCAGTTGCCCTGAACTGAGGGGTCCAGACAATCCAAAAGTTAAAGAAATAACCAAAGGCTTTCACCAAACCAAAGGAAAAGACATTCTGGAGGGTCCCAAGTGCATGCCTTAAGCATCTGAACTGATATGTCGAATCCAATGAATAGGGGTGGCTGCTAGGAGGAAGGTGCTGGCTACTGCTGGACATGCATACATCAGTGTACTAAGGGAGCATATCTGGACTTCAGTAAAGCTTTTCATACAGGTTCTCATGAAATCCAGCATGGGAGCATACTCTCTGGAGCTTCCTCGAACATTCCACTGTCATCACTGAGGTCACAGGAGAAAAGAGCAAATGTTATACAATGTTCTACAAGTCCCAGACTGAGTTTGCCCAGATTCTTCCTCCTCCTGATTCTCTAGTCCCAGAATCCCACCACTCTCCCCCATCAAAACAGAGAAACCCTCTCTGATTAGAGATTTTAATTTATTGCCACAAAAATCTAGGAACGTTTCATTCTCATTATATCTATGTACATAAAGACAAACATATCATATTAGACACCATTGCCTGCTGGGGCATGCTTACTTCTCTGCTCCATTTCAGCAAACACAGGTCACTTGGGTTTGATCAGAAATGCAGATTAAAGAGTAGACTTTTAGAAAGGAGGCACACAGGGAACCCACTAGAGAAGGAAATCTATATGATTCAGTTTTGCATTGCCCAGGGGTTGAACCCTGTCCCCATCCCTTTGAAATGCCTGTGAACATAATATTACTCCTTAAATGCCAGCCTGCTTAGTTCCTGCTGACATCTGTCCTTCCCAGGCTGGGAGGTGTCAAAAATCCAAAGGCACTGAGAACCATCCAGAAAGGTTTGGCCACAGCAGCCAGAAAGGAGTCCCAAACTTAGTTCAAGCTGCTTTATAATGCCACCTTCCAAATCAGGCCTTGACCTCTGACCTCAGGGTGTCCTATCAAGCAGGCCAGTTAGCTTTTTCCTCGTCATTTCATAGGCTAGGAAGAGGGCACCGTTGGAGGGGAGTGCGCGTATCACTGTGGGCATCAGTCCACAGTAAAGAGCCATGAAACCTACAACACAAACACCACAATCAGGTGAGCTCACCAGGCCTGTGACAGACAAACAGAACATCCCCTACAGAGCCCACAACGGCCTCAGCTCGGTGAGATTCTCAACCAGAGCAAGATGTCAAGGGAAACGCTCTCAGGCAGGAGAGACCAAACCTGGGGAATGCCCACAGCCCCTTTTCGAGTAGGGGAACCAGAGATTCCAAGGACAGAAGGGACCGTTGTGATCATCTCGTCTGACCTCCTGTGTGACAATTCCCAAAAATAATTCTTAGAGCCGATCCTTTACAGAAACATCCAATCTTGATTTAAAATTGTCAGTGATGAAGAATCGACCACCTTGGTAAGCTGTTCCAATGTTTAACTGACAAAATTTACACCTTATTTCCAGTCTGAATTTGTCTAACTTCAGCTTCCAAATGTTAACCTTTCTCTGCTGGACTGAAGAGCACATTATCAAATATTTGTTCCCCATTTAGGTATTTATTAGACTGTAATCAAATCAGCCCTTAACGTCTTTGTTAAGATAAATAGATTGAGCTTATTGAGTCTTGAAAATTAATGTTAATAGTCCAGAAAATTCTTTAGCCAGCTCTTTCAAAATTCTTGGAAATAATTTGGACCGGCTGATTTTAAAATGTCTAACTTTAGAGATGGATTCAGTGAATGAAGCTGTTTGTGTGTCACCTACCTTCTGTCCTCAAGATGTGAAGAAAGGAGAGCAGGAAGCCATCTTGCCGCCCTGCCATGGAAAGCACCTGGATCCGAGACTTCACTGAGTCAATGGGATAGACGGCCAGCCAGAAACAGGCCCCCCCCATCCCACCACTCACTGTTAGGGGAAGAGAACCTAAAATTCAACACAGGGAGAGAGACCTCAGTGTGGAAAAGGGGAAAGTCATTGGGGAACTCCCAGATCCTGCAGAGAAATGCGAGCAAAAGAAGAGAAAATGTGTGCAAGCAACCAGCAGCCCTGGGACTCAGGGGGGAGAGACCAGGCCAGGCACATGAATTACATGATTAGAGGCTGAAGAGACCTGTCTGGAGTTTAGCTTTTGTCTTGGGCACAGGGAGTGGAGGCAACAGTGCTAGGGGAGCCTGATAAGTGCTGATGCCTCACCAAAGAGGCACTGGGCTTCCCAGGTCTAATTTCTCCGAGGTGCTTTCCTGGCCTCCCTCACTGTCGTATCTGAGTGCCTCACAATCAATAGTGTATTATCCCCACACACTTCTGAGTTATTGTCCCCACTATACAATGGTGATTGTGGCCCGAGAAACGAAATTACTTGTTCAGGGTCTCACAGGAACTCTGCAGCAGAGCAGGGATTTGAACTCAGATCTCTGAAGTCCTAGGGTAGCATCTTAATCACTGAACCAGCCTTCCTCTTGAACCACTGGACAATTCGTCCATCCCAGGTCACCCCCAGAACCCTGCCCCCCACCTCCTCAGTCACCCCCTGGCTAGCCCCATATCCTTGCTCACCCCCCGTAGTTCCTCTAGCATACCATGCAGCAGCTCATTGGAAAGCCCAAGGGACGTGAGTGTCTGTGCGGATAAGCAGGGTTGTGTGTGGCTTTGCCTGGGAATGGCAGAAGGAGGGGGAAGAGAGCAGTGGGGGTGAAGCTCTTCTCTGGTGACCCGTGCACAAGTTCAGCCCCATGTCCCTCACAGCACTGCTTCCCTTCCAGGCCTCATTGCAAAGCTGCTCTCCTCCCATGTCCCCTCTCATAGAGCTTCATTCTTCCTGCACTCCCCATGGGGGTTTTTATAGCTGCTTTCAACAACTACCAGGATGGAGCAACAATTACCAGGTCTGGCAGGGGAGCCCATGTCAAAGCACAGGGGAAGTATAAAGGGGGTGATACGTAACAACACAGATCGTTCTCCATGTGACTAGCTATCAGCATTGCTACCTATTTATTAAATATGCTTTGAGGTGCATATCTCATCAGTGCAAACCATAAAAAGCAAGGAAATCAGCAGTTACATCTTTCCACAACTCCTCAGTTCACCTTCTTCTTTCCAACATCTGCAGCCCAGCCTCATCATGGGAATATATGTCATCCATACATCCAGCACTGAAACCCAGCGACCTCTGAGCTAGAGCCCGGTGTGGGACAATTTTTAATCCTGCTCCTGTCCCACCCCGCAATACTCACTCCTACTCCCACCCACTCCTGCTATTACGGCAGCGGGTCCTGCGGGACCCATGGGATCCAGGTCCTGCTGCAGGGCTCTACTCTGAGGTGGATGACCATAGATATTTAACAGCCCACAGCAACCCTTCAGCAAAGGACAGGAAGCAAAAACAACTCCTGTATCCATTTGATACAGTGCAATTCAGGGTAGCAGAAAAAATGGTTATTAAATTAAACTAAAATCTTATCTACCTTTCGTAACTGTTCTTCGAGATGAGTTGCTCATGTCCATTCCATTCTAGGTGTGTGCGTGTCCACGCGCACAATTGTCGGAGATTTTTGCCTTAGCAGTATCCGTAGGACAGGCTGTGGTGCCCCCTGGAGTGCCGCCCTCATGCATCTGTATATCAGGCACTGCCGGCCCTATGCCCTCTCAGTTCCTTCTTGCCGGCAACTCCGACAGAGGGGCAGGGGTGGCTAATGGAATGGACATGAGCAACACATCTCAAAGAACAACAGTTACGAGAGGTAGGGAACCGTTTTTTCTTCTTCGAGCGCTTGCTCATGTCGATTCCATTCCAGGTGACTCACAAGCAGTATCCATTGAGGGGGAGTTCATGGTCTTGCAGCTTGCAGCACTGCTCTGCCAAAGCCAGCATCATCTTGAGCTTGCTGGGTAAGCGCATAATGAGATGTGAACATGGGCGTCGGGTGAACCGATGGTTGGGGGGAGCTAGCCCCTGGCCGGCCCCTTCCCCACCACCTGAGGACCTGGCCCCTCTCCCCCGCTGGAAGCCCCCCTACCCATCGCCCCCCAGTCTCTGAGTGCAGGATGGGCAACGTGTGGCACCCGGCCCCAAGTGCAGGGCCGGCAGGCGGCGCGCAGCCCCCCAACCCCAGTGCCCCCAGCCTAGGGTTACCATACGTCCGGATTTCCCCAGACAGGTCCGGCTTTTTGGTGCTCAAATCCCCGTCCGGGGGGAATTTTCAAAAAGCTGGATATGTCCGGGGAAATAGGGAGGCATAGGCCAGGGTCCGCCCAGCCCCAGCACGATCCGCCGGATCCGCAGCGCAGCCCAGCCGCCCCGGCTACATTGTAGCGAGCTCGGGCGGAGCGGGAAAGGGAGGGGAGGGGAGGGGAGGGGGGGCTGCAGCCACACAAGGCGGCGGAGGAGCCGCTGCTGCCCCCGCAGGCCGGGTGGACCGCGCGCCCCAGCCGAGCCTGCTGGACCACGGGGAGGCCGGGCCCAGCCAGCGGCTCGGGCTTCCCTCGCGGGCGGGGACCCCCCGGCTACTGGGGGACCCTTCCTGCAGCCCCAGCACCCCACACAGCTCGGAACCCAGCGCCACGGGAGCTGTTCCAGCGGGGACAGGCCGGGGAACGTGCTCAGTGCTGGCAGGAAGGAGGTGGCGTGTGCCGGGGCTGCAGGGACCCGCGCCACCCCGGTCGCCGCTGAGCCTCCGCGCCTCCGCCAGGCAGAGGCTGCTGGGGGAGCGGGGGAGCAGGGCAGCCGGGGGGGCTGCAGAGGCTGCAGGGCAAGGCGGAGCAGGGCAGGTAGGGGCATAGAGGCTGCAGGGGCGGGGGGCGCAGGGGCAGGCCAGGCGGGGGGTGCAGAGGCTGCAGGGGCCGGGGGCGCAGGGGCAGGGCAGGCGGCAGGCGCAGAGGCTGCAGGGGTGGTGGTGGGGCAAGTGGGGAGCAGGAGTCACAGAGGCTGCAGGGGTGAGGGGATGCAGGGGCTGCAGGGTTAGTGTGGAGCAGGGGTCACAGAGGCTGCAGGGGCGGGGGGGTGCAGGGAGAGTGGGGAGCAGGGAAGCACTTAGCAACCCCCAACCAAGATCAGAGCGGGAGGCAGGAAGGGGAATTCAGGGTGCTCAGAGGAGGGGGCAGAGTTGGGGCAGGGACTCTGGGGAAGGTGTTGGAATGGGGGCGGGGAAGGAGGTAGGGAAGAGGCGGAGTTGGGGCAGGGCCAGGGCCCCCATAGAGTGTCCTCTTTTTTCAGTGTTTAAATATGGTAACCCTACCCCAGCCCCCCCAAGCACAAGGCTGAAAATTGCAGGGTATAGCCCTGAGATACTATGTCCAGCACCAGCGCTCCGAGGTGACCTGCGACCAGGCCGAATGATAGGGATGAAGATGGTTGAGGAAAGAACAAGGTGGATCTGGGGAATTGACTGGGGTATTGCTCTCGAGTGCACCTTCAAAGCAAGCTTCTGGCCCCCGGCATGCTTCATTCGCCAGGCCGGGCTGTGCGGGTGAGCGGGAGGAGGAAAGGCAGCGATGACTAACGTTTGTGTCTCGGTCCCTGCTCCTTGCAGACCCCTGACGAGGCTGCCAAGGCCTTGGCGACGGGGGCGTCTGGAACTGCTTCCGTGCAGACTGCGGCGTGTGCATTTCCAGCGAGTGAAGGGTGGCCTGAGTGTCCTTCAACCCATGCAGCCTTGCGTCAGTCTGCTCCGAAAATAGACTGTTCCCATTGAATCGTTCCCATCAAAAATAGACTGTTCCCTGGATCGAGGTCTGCATCTCGTGGGACAGGCCGGCGGTCTGAAGCCAGGAGTTGCACCTCATAACCACTGCCGACGGGACCACCCTGGCCGCCGAGTCGTACGCCCTCTGGGGAGAGAACCTAGCCACAGGGTGCTGAATTTCTGGGCCAAACCCTGCGGGAGGGACTCCTTGAAATTACGGAGGGAGTCCCATAAGTTAGAATTGTACCTGCGCACGAGGACCTGATGGTTCGCCACCCGGAATTGCAGACTGGCTGTTGAATAAATTTTTCTCCCCAAAAGGTTCAATCTTTTGGCCTCTTTATTTTGGGGAGTTGAGCTGGTGTGCCCCTGCTTATCCTTTTTGCTGTTCCACAGAGACAACCAGCGAGCCCGGAGGTGGGTGGGTATAAAGGTACTCAAACCCTTTGGCCAGGACAAAGTACTTCTTTTCGGCCCTTTTGGAGGAGGGAGATTGGACAACGGGGTTTGCCACAGGACCTTGGCAATTTTCAGAACCCCGTCATGCACTGGTTGTGCAGCATGGGCCGGGGTAGAGGCTAAGAGGACATTGAACAAGGTGTCGGCCTGCTCGGTCATCTCCTCCACCTCTAGGCCCAAGTTTTCAACCACTTGTTGAAGCAGGGCCTGGTGTTCTTTACAATCATCTGGCGGGCTAGCCCTCGAGGGTCCGGCGACCACCTCGTCTGTATGGCCAGGGGAGGCCCTGGGGCATCATCCTCCCTGGGGGAGGGAGGTTTTGGGGTGGGCGCTGATTCCTCTACCCTGACCTCTGAGCAGGTCTCATGCACCAAGCCCGGTGCCACCAGTGCTGCCAGCTGTTGCTCCGAGGCGGCGGAAGATGAGTGGTGCGAAGGGGGCATCGTCATCACTGGCACGCCCCACGCACTCCAATAAGGCCACTGTGCTGGCCACTGGCCATGCTGCCAAGGCAGTGCCGTTGATATTGACGTGGCCTCAGGTGCTCAATCGTGCCAGGGGGATCTGGGCGAGGGGCTGAACTGCCCTTTCATGTCAGAGGAACCCCCTTCCAGTGACCACGCGGGGCTGTCGACGCCTGTGTCTGCCTGCTGACCATCACCACTGGAGACCGGTGTTTGGAGTGGGAGGATCAGTGCCAGTATTGAGGGGACTGGGGCCAGGGGACCGGAATCATGACAGGGAGTGCTCTCATGGGACAGGTGACTGAGATCTGTGCTGAGAGGACAACTGGCGGGAGGGTGAACGGTGCTGGTAGAATGGAGACCAGCGCCTCCCCCTAGATGATCCGCGTTGAGATGGTGGGGACTGGGACCACTTCCTGTGGCATGTGCGGTGCCAGCCCTGTGGGCGGAGGCCACTGCTCTCTCAGCGCTGGGGAGCCTGAGAAGGCGTCGATGCCACCAGGAGTTTGGGGCTCCTACCGCTCTCGGGAGTTGGTGGTGGATCCTTTAAGGGAATAAGGGCCCTGGCCGGGGAGGCATGTCCACGTGGCTCCGAAGTGGCCGGGCAGCCAGAACTGTGTCCTTTGCCCAATGCCCCATGGCCTTTCTTGCCCAGTGCTGGGGAGCCGTGCTTCTTTGTTTTCTTTCTGGGCACTGGTGATGGGGAGTGGTGTCGGGTGGAGCCCGGTGACAGGGGTGTGCTGCGCACTGAGGCCGAGGTACTAGGCAAGTCTTGGTGGGACGGCTTGGAAGCCAAATGAAGGGCAGCCTCCATGAGGAGAGCCCGCAAACGAATATCCTGCTCTTTCTGAGTGCTGGGGCAAAAATTTTTACAATACAACACTTGTCTTTCACGTGTGATTCCCCCAAGCACTTGAGGCAGCTGCTGTGGGGGTCACTTACTGGCATAGGCCTGTTACAATCCGCGCAGGGCTTAAACCCCAGAGAGGGGGCATGCCCCACCTGGGACTCTAACTTCTAACTCCTAACTACACTTAACAACTACTTAACACTAACTACTATAAACAACTATTTACAAGGCCCTAAGCCTCAAAGTCAGAAGTGACGAAACCGCCAGCCCTTGCTATGCAAGGAAAGGTGCTCTGACCAACCACCATGGGCGGTAGGAAAGAACTGAGAGGGCATAGGGTCGGTGGCGCCTGATATACCAACACATGAGCACAGCATTCAAGGGGGTGCCACAGCTGCCCCTACAGATACTGCAAAAGCAGAAATTTCCAACGACCACGCACATGGGCGCGCGCACCTAGAATGGAATCGACATGAGCAACCACTCGAAGAAGAATATAAGTGACTGACTTGGAATTTGGTCAGGACACCAGGGTTCACACCCCAGTTCTTACCCAAAAAGTGCCAAATGATCTTCACTGAATCATGAATGATCAGCACCTCGGTGTCTCATCCGTCAGATGACACCTCATGTAAAAACGTAACTAGATACACATGGGAACCACTCTGCCACTAACCAACATATTGGGGCTCTGATTGGTTCAGAACCGACTCAGAAGAAAGAACATCTCCTGGATTACCCTGGAGTGATCAATCTCCAAGCAATACAACCTAGCTGGGGAGGGGTAATAAGATCATGGTCAGAGTTGGTATGGCTCAGTAATTCTACAGTTTGTGATCACTAGCACTGAGAATACCTAGAACGTTCAGAATATCAACCATCTCCACTACATTGGTAAATACCAAGCCAAAAACAGCTTCTCCATGGTGACATCTGTCATGACAATGGAACCTGCTCACTGCCAGAGCCTGACTTCAGGAGAGACTATGGTGGATTAAAGCTATGGTCAAGGTCCTGGAATCTGGAGAAGCTTCATTTCCTCAGGCAGAGTCATGCTGAGAGAACCTGATACACACGGAGGACTTACTTGGCTTGGTTTGGGAACCAGGATTTTATTAATAGGTGCACAGACTAGTCACAGACACGGAGTGTTTGGACTGCAACAAACAAACATTTTCCAGACAAGGCCCTAATGTTGTGAGCGTTTTGGGTAAAAGAACTCCTGGAATCCTGCAGGGTTGCCATGATGGCCAATGGCAAACCATGTATGAGGGAGGGACCTAAAACCCAAAGGAATCCAAGGGAAGATGGCTTTTGGTTACTTGTGTTTGTGTCTGTCTCTTTTCTTATTTTCCACTCTAAGTTGCAGGTCTAGTGGATGTCAGGCCCAATGAGGCTCAGCCTGTTGTGTCTCTGGGGTTTGACAATGTACCCAGCTGTGCTGAATGTGGTCCCTCCCTGCTTGTTTGATTGTTGATCCTGATGTAGGAGAGAAAGAAACTTCCCCATCAAACCGACCCTGCCTCCCGCTCCCCAGTCTTCAGCCTGGCTGAATGTTGATGGACAAGGGTGTTCCTGCCTGCCTGAGAGCAGGGCCGGTGCTACCATTAAGCCCCTGATGGTGTGGCTGATGTGATTAGGTCCTATGATGATGTCACTTGAATAGATATGTGGACAGAGTTGGCATCGGGCTTTGTTGCAAGGATAGGTTCCTGGGTCAGTGTTTTTGTTCAGTGATGTGTGGTTGCTGGTGAATATTTGCTTCAGGTTGGGAGGTTGTCTGTAAGCGAGGACAGGTCTGTCTCCCAAGATCTGTGAGACTGAGGGATCATCTTTCAGGATAGGTTGTAGATCTTTGATGACGCGCTGGAGTGGTTTTAGTTGGGGGCTGAAGGTGACAGCTAGTGGTGTTCTGTTATTTTCTTTGTTGGGCCTGTCAGGGGTGTGGATTTTTCACACCTCTGAGCAACATAATTATACCAAGCTAATTTCCTAGTGCAGACCAGGCCTGAGATGGGGTGGTGTGCTGGAGAGCTATGGGGGCTGCCGGCTGGCATGTTTGATCTGTGGGCAATCATAGACATTGCTGAACCTGATTAACATGCTAGCTACTTTTCATTCAGGCTAAATTGGAGAAGCAATTAAGCTCCTTTGTGGAGTAAGATAGCTGGAACAAAAGAATCACAGAATCATAGGACTGGATGGGACCTCGAGAGGTCATCTAGCCTAGTCCCCTTCACTCATGGCAGGACTAAGTATTATCTAGACCATCCCTGACAGGTGTTTGTCTAACCTGCTCTTAAAAATCTCCAATGATGGAGATTCCACAACCTCCCTAGGCAATTTATTCCAGTGCTTACCCACCCTGACAGTCAGGAAGTTTTTCCTAATTTCCAACCTAAACTGCCCTTGCTGCAATTTAAGCCCATTGCTTCTTGTCCTATCCTCAGAGGTTAAGAAGAACAATTCTCCCTTCTCCTTGTAAAACCTTTTATGTACTTGAAAGCCACCAGCCAAGGTGCTGGACCATGTAGGAAGGCCTGAACAAGAACTAGGTTCAGGGAAAATAAGAGGGGTTTCCCTTGGACTGATTGAAAATACAGAGATTGGGCCATTGATTGGTGGAGCTGTGTGTGTCGTCAGGAGAAAACCAGAGAAACACTGTTAGCATGACCCTGAGAGGGAGCAGAGAAAGAGCTTCTTTTGAGCATAGTACTCTGGAGAAACAGGATTGGGTTTCTGAGCAAAGAAAGTGCCACTTATTGTTTGTTCCTATTGCGTTCAGGGAAACATGACTTTCTGGGCAATCTTTGTAAATAAACAGGTTTGCACCAAAGAAATCCCTGACTTGTATAATCAATTTCTCCTCCTAATGAAACAACTTGGTTAAGAACCTGCTTGGGCCAAGGAGCAATGCTATAAATACAAAACTGGGGAGTTAAAATCTTCCAGGAGGGTTGGAACCTGGGATTGTGACATGTATGGGTTGCTTCTGAAGTTCCACATCTTCTCCTTCAAATTGATTTGGTGTCCATCTACTAGTACCTGGGACTCCCCCTTGTCCAGTCTGCATAAAGTGTTTCTGCTTCTGTCACCTGTCTGAAGCTCATAGCTCCGTAGCACAACACTACCCCTGGAGTGGTCAGAGCAGTATCGATATTGGTCACTACTTCATTGTGAAAACAACCAGATCCTAGTTCTGTCCTTGCTCAAAATGATACAATTCCTCACCACTCCTCTGCAAAGGCCTTAAGGCTGAAACTCCCTTTATCTTGCCCACATCCAACTTTACTCACCCAGATCCTCCTTGCACTGACCAGCCTGGGTGAAAAAGCTTCTACTGACTTCATAGCCACCAAAGAAGAAGAAGTAGCCAGGCACCTCCCGTAGCCAAGTACTGGTCAGGCCCTGGAAAAATCCCAGCAGGCCCTCAGATTGAAAGATATTTTTCACAGTAGCCCAGGTAGAGCTGCAAGAGAGAACATAGGCAATGTACCCAAAAAAGGACCATCAGGGGCAGAATGAAAACAATCACACTCAGCATTACCTTTACCAACCCAGGATGATCAGTCAACCTAGAACCATGCCATATTACCCCAAATTCTCATTGAGAGTGAATCCCAGATTCGTTTTCTTGGCCAAACTGGGCACACTCCAGCATGTCCTGCTAGAGGCGGAATTTGAGGTGGAAGGAAGAAAGGAGCAGGGGGACTTGGTTTAAACTCATGTATCTGAGTGGGCTCTGGTGTATCATCCACTGACCTCCCTTGCTCCCTTATCTGCAAATGTTCTCCACAAATTGTCCTTTGGAAACATGGGATTAATTTGGGACACAGGCACAAAAATGGGGGAGCTGGGTAGCCTGGCAACCACAGCAGCAATGATCTGCACTGTTCCATGGGAGAGATGTTGGCCGCCAGCTCAGCCACAATACAGTCTCCAGGAAGGAGAGGAGGATGTTTGGTTGTGACAGAGCAGGGGTCGGCAACCCTTCAGAAGTGTAAAAAGCAACAAAGAGTCTTGTGGCACCTTATAGACTAACAGCTGTATTGGAGCATAAGCTTTCGTGGGTGAATACCCACTTTGTCAGATGCTACCCCTCTGATACTTGACCTTCAGAAGGGGTGTGCCGAGTCTTCATTTATTCACTCTAATTTAAGGTTTCGCGTGCCAGTCATACATTTTAACATTTTTAGAAGGTCTCTTTCTATAAGTCTATAATATATAACTAAACTATTGTTGTATGTAAAGTAAATAAGTTTTTTTAAATGTTTACAAAGCTTCATTTAAAATTAAATTAAAATGCAGAGCCCCCCGGACCGGTGGCCAGAACCCGGGCAGTGTGAGAGCCATTGAAAATCAGCTCGCCTGCCGCCTTCGGCACACGTGCCATAGGTTGCCTACCCCTGTGATAGAGGAAGGCTTTGGGTATGCTGTGTCATGCAGACCCACAGGCAGCCAGTCTGGCCAGGAGGGACAGAAGGAAGCTGCAGGGCCCCGCCCAGTAAGCACTTCCTAAGGAATGTGTTTACATTGTCTGGGTTTAGCACCAAGCCAGCTCTAGTCAGCTGGGCAGTGTGACACCCTCATCTTCCTGGGCAAGAGGGAATTCAGACCCTCTGCCTCAGGCCTTGGCTACACTCACGGATTCACAGCGCTGCCTCAGAGAACTCTCGCAGCGCTGCAAGTACTCCACCTCTCCGAGGGGAATAGCTTGCAGCGCTGCGAGCGAGCGTGCAGCGCTGCAGGCGCTGATTACACTGGCGCTTTACAGCGCTGCACTCGCTGCACTCAGGGAGGTGTTTTTTCACACCCCCGAGTGCAGCAAGTGCAGCGCTGTGAATTGCCAGTGTAGCCAAGGCCTTACTCACAAACCTTCCCCACCAGGGCTGTGTGTGACGTGTGTAATTCACCAAAGCCTGGCCTGCTTCCCAAGGCTGTGACGTACCTGTGACGTGCTAGTGCTGTTCGCCCGGTGACCTTCATCTCATGTAAGGCCTGCATGCGGCATTTCACCAGCTCCGCAGGGCACAGCACCATAGAGGAAAAGACAGAGGAGAACGAGCCGGCAAGTGCACTCTGCAGGTCGCTGGCACCATAGGGCGCGGGAACACAGATGTTAGAGCCGACGCTCACCCCCCACAGGCCCAGGCTCTGCAGAGGGCCGAGCAGAGGCCCTCATCACCACTACCCTAAAGGAGGAGCATGACCTGCCTCCCCAACCCTGACTATCCCCTTGCTCAGGGACGTCCCCACAGCTTTCTCTTGGGCTGTCACAGATGGAAAACGTGGGTGACTCGGCGTCACCCCAAATACTGCCCAAAGTGCCCCCAAGGGGGGCTTACAGCAGCCTCGCCATGCAGCCCCACCCCCTCTGGCGTCCCCACGCCGCACACCCGCAGGGCCAGGCCATACCTCAGCTCCAGCACACTGCTCAGTCCAAACAGCTGCCTCACCAGCTGCTGACAGAAGCCATAGCAAGCGAAGAGCACTGCGTTCTCTGCCACGTTAGCAAGCAGGGCTGGAGTGGTGCCCTGGTACAGCCCAGGCAGCCCTTCCTGCCGGTACGTCCGGACTGAGCAGTCAAAGAAACCCCGGTACATGGTGGGGAAGGTCTGCATCTTCACCTTGATTGTGTCAAAGGGCTGCCCGCTCACCACACATGCCACCCCGCCTGCAGAGACAAACCCACAGTTACCTCAGTGCCCCCTTCGCCAATAGCTAAATCTCTGCATTAAGCATCTTCGCATAACTGTGTATCATTTTCATATAACTTTGTATTATGCCTCTTCAGATAACCTTGTATTAAGTCTTTCCATCGATAACCTCTATTTTCATACAAATTTGTAGCAAGTCCTTTGATATAGGAACTTTGTATCAAATCCTTATATAGAAAATTTGTATTGAGCTTTGGTACACCTCTACCCCGATATAACGCTGTCCTCGGAAGACAAAAAAACTTACTGCGTTATAGGTGAAACCGCATTATATCGAACTTGCTTTGATCCACCGGAGTGTGCAGCCCCCCCGCCCCCGAGCACTGCTTTACTGCGTTATATCGGGGTAGAGGTATATAATGTTATAGCCCCTAAGGATAGTTAAGGTAGAAGAAAAATGTCTTTTCACTAGGAAGCAATAGAGGGTCCTGTGGCACCTTTAAGACTAGCAGAAGTATTGGGAGCATAAGCTTTCAGATGCAAGAAGTGAGGTTCTTACCCACGAAAGCTTATGCTCCCAATACTTCTGTTAGTCTTAAAGGTGCCACAGGACCCTCTGTTGCTTTTTACAGATTCAGACTAACACGGCTACCCCTCTGATACTTTTCACTAGGAGTAGAATAAGATCTCCCCCCCCCTTTTAATCAATTGCCCTGTTGAATGAATGAGGTGTGAATGAGTAAGGCATGGAAGGCAAGCACCTCCAGACAGCTGCAACAGTTGGAGGGGATAGAAGCCAGACCCAAGAACAATAAAACTTGTCAAGTGGGCTCATTAAAGAAGATCAGACATATTGACGGCCCTGGGAGTTAGAAGGGAGCACCTTCTTTTGAAAACACCCTCTTTGAAAATAAATGTGGCAGCATTAAGACAACACCCAGAAGGAAGCGCCACAGATGACCAACTGACACAGACACAGATTTGCATCTGGTATAGATTTGCATGATAGGGAAGCTGCTATAAATGTGAGGTGTCTTGCAGAGGATCCCAGGTCTCACCTTGTCAACATCGGAGCATCGATCCGGATCAACAGAAGCCCGGCTCCACCCCTTCCCCATCTAACTCACCTGGCCAGTGCAGTTAAGGGGAGCAACTAGTTGGTAACAACAACAAGACAGAGTTTGTGTGTGAGTGTGATATATCTCATATGCATATGATACAGTGTGGATTGATACATGTTCTACCAATAAATGTGGCGCTTTGCATTATCCCCCCTGAAAAGATCCTGTGCGGTACGTTAAGTACGTTTGCCCCTGCCCCAGGGGTGAAGCCTCAGAGCACCTCAGTGCCAGCACCTCACCCCACCCCCGACGGGGCAAAGCCCCCGGGTACCTCAGTGCCCCCTTAACCCCCCCTCGGGGCAAAGCCCCCGGGTACCTCAGTGCCCCCTTAACCCCTCCACGGGGCAAAGCCCCCGGGTACCTCAGTGCCAGTTCTTCACCCCACCAACGACGGGGCAAAGCTCCCGGGTACCTCAGTGTCAGGTGCTGAGGGTTGTAAGTCTCCTCCTCCCACAGCTGAGAGGCCCAGGATTGCAGGTGTCCTCTGAGCTAGAATTCCTCCCTCTGATAAGTTTTAACTTGCTCCTGAACCGCGGTCCTGTCTTATTTCAGGGATTCAAGTCCAACTCTTGCTGCCTTCCAGGCCTCACCCCACTTCCTGTTGGGGCCCTATCCATGCATTTGGCTCGGGGCTCCCCTTCTCCCCAGCCAGGTATCTTGCCCTTCTGAAGAACCCAGATACGCTCCCAAATGATTCTACCTGCCAAGCCCTCCGCCCCTTGCAGAGGATGGGCCCCAGCTCCAGACTCACCTGCTGCCCCTGCAGTGAGGTGAACCAGTGCCTGTACCAGTGGGTGGGACTTGGCTGCGTCTGCAGACATCTCAGCAAACTGGACCACGCTGGACCCTAGAGCAGGAACCAGGCTGCAAATCAACCCGCTCCCAGCTCAGTGATGCAGGGAGCAGGGCAGGCAGCAGAGAGCACAAGCAACAGGCTTCAGAGGTCACCCTGCTGCAGAACCATATTGCTCGAGTTTTCTTTGTCCCCTTGGGAATCCAACAGCAACTCAGAGATATCTGGGTATTTGGGGGTGGAGGACCGGGTGTAGTCTTTAAAGAGGGATTCGAGTTAGGGGCATAGGGATTGGGAAGTTTGTGGGAGCTGTGAAGGAGGCTATTGTGGGTACTGGGAGAGTACAAGAGCTGTGGGGTATGGAGGCTATCAGGGAGGTTGTGGGGGACACAGGGACTGTGGGGATATGAGGGGGCTGTGGGCACAGAGGCTGGAGGGCGTGTAGGGCAGCTGGAGGGGGCACAGAGGTGGTGGGAGCTATTGGGTGGTGGGGGAGCATTGGGGAGGCTGTGGGACGCAGGGGCTGTGGAGGGCATATGGACTGAGGCTACTAGGAAGGTTGGAGGGGGGCACAGGGCTGGTGGGAGGAGGCCTGGATGGAGGTGCAGGTCTGCATCATTGACCTGGGTCTGAGTGGCATGGCACCTCAGCATTGTTGGCAGCAACTGAGTCCTGCCTCAGCTACAAGGAGTGGGTCAGGAAGTGGTATTGGGCAGAGAAGTAGCCAGGGGCCCTGGGCACAACTTGGGATTGCTGAGGGGTGCTGCACTTCCTTGGTGCAGCTTGGGGTGCTGGGGCAATGGGTGTGTGTAACGGGATATCAAGGCAGACGGTGTGTGGGGGGGTATCGGGGCAGAGGAGGGTAGTGGGAACCTGTGTAAAAGGGCGGCAGGACAGAGGGAGAGTGTGCAGCATTGAAGCGGGGCATTGAGGGGTTGTGAGTGTGTATGGGGTGTAGTGGGGCAGAGGGGGGTAGTGTGTCTGAGTGCGGGGGGTGGTGTTGGGGCAGAGGGTGGGTAGTGGGAGTGTGTACAGGATGTAGTGGGACAGAGGGTGTGTCATAACTATAAAGGGAATGGTAACAGCATACCTGTGTACAGTACTATAAAATCCCTCCTGGCCAGAGACTCCAAAATCCTTTTACTTGTAAAGGGTTAAGAAGCTCAGGTAACCTGGCTGACCCGTGACCCAAAGGACCAATAAGGGGACAAGATACTTTCAAATCTTGGTGGGGGGAAGGCTTTTGTTTGTGCTCTTTGTTTTGGGGGTGGTTCGCTCTTGGGATTGAGAGGCACCAGACATCAATCCAGGTTCTCCAAATCTTTCTGAACAAGTCTCTCATATTTCAAACTTGTAAGTAAACAGCCAGGCAAGATGTGTTAGTTTATCTTTGTTTTCTCAACTTGTAAATGTACCTTTTTGCTAGAGTGTTTATCTCTGTTTGCTGTAACTTTGAACCTAAGACTAGAGGGGGGTCCTCTGGGCTCTTTAAGTTTGATTACCCTGTAAAGTTAGTTTCCATCCTGATTTTACAGAGATGATTTTTTATCTTTTCTTTAATTAAAAGCCTTCTTTTTAAGAACCTTATTGATTTTCCTTGTTTTTAGATCCAAAGGGGTTGGATCTTGATCCACCAGGAGTTGGTGGGAGAAAGGAGGGGGATGGTTAATTTCTCCTTGTTTTAAGATCCAAGGGGTTTGGATCTGTATTCACCAGGGAATTGGTGAAGAATCTCTCAAGGCTACCCAGGGAAGGGAATTAGCATTTTGGGAGTGGTGGCAGTGGACCAGATCTAAGCTGGTAGTTAAGTTTAGAAGTTTTCATGCAGGCCCCCACATTTGTACCCTAAAGTTCAAAGTGGGGAAGCAGCCTTGACAGGGTGGATATTGGGAGTGTACGAGATGTAGTGGGGCAGAGATTGGGTAGCGGGAGTGTGTACAGGGTCTAGCGGGGCAGAGGGTGGGTAGTGGGAGTGTGTATGGGGAGTAGCAGGGCAGAAGGGGGTAGTGTGAGTGCGGGGGGCGGGAGTGCATACGGGGTGAAGCGGGGCAGAGGGTGGGTAGCGGGAGTGTGTACGGGATGTGGGGCAGAGGGTGGGTAGTGGGAGTGTGTACGGGATGTGGGGCAGAGGGTGGGTAGTGGGAGAGTGTATGGGGTGTAGAGGGGGATAGCGTGTCTGAGTGCAAGGGGGTATTGTGGTAGAGAGGTAGTGTGTGTTTGTGTGTGAAGATGGGGCAGTGGGCATGTGGGCAGATGGGGGATGTGGGGGCAGGGGTATCAGGGTAGTGAAGAGGTATATAGTGGGGGATCCAGGCAGGAGCAGGGAGTGGGGATGTATTTAAAGGGTATCGGGGGAGTGCAGGGTTGTATAAAGAGGTAGCAGGACAATGGATGTGTGTGCGGGGGTGCATTGGGTAGAGTGGATAGTGGAGTTGTGGGTAAAGGGGTGTCAGGACAGTAGGGGGTACGACAGGTATTGGCAGTCGGATGCATGTAAAAGGCTATCAGGGTACAGGAGGGATGTGTGGTGACTGGCTCCTTGGATACTTTTGAGGAGCAGTGGGCACTGTCCAGGGTTCTGTGCTCAGTGTCCCCTTCAGGTTCCCTAGTTTTGGCCCTTTGACCCTCACGCTTGTTCCTGTTTTTTTCCTTTGTTGTCTCCCAAATTTAGTTGAGTTCTGGGCTCAGTAGCTCCTCCCCAGGCTGGGGAAGGGGCTTTTAGTTGTGGGCGGGTTTACGCCGCCTGCTTCCCAGCACCCAATAAGATACTCAGAAGAGATCAGTAAGTACAGGGCTCAAGGGAGAGACGTGTCCCTGAGGAGAAAAGTGGGGTCTGCACTAATCCTTCTAATACCTGCCCACATATGGTGAAATGGATACATTAAATCAGTGGGTGGATTGCATTCTCCCTGTCGGCGACTCACAGAGCTTTCCCTGCTCTCCCCAGGTCTGGCCTGCACTTCACTGTGGGCTGCAGTGGGGGAGGTGTTTTTTTCTTAATGTCCCCATCCTTCCCCCTTCCACCCAAAAAAGTTCCAGGTATACTAACCCCTGAGAAGCAGGTTTGGGAACAGGGTGTGGGAATCTCGTGTATCTGTCACATTTCAAAGCTAGCAAGTTCAAAGTCCGTTAATGACATGAGTCTTTAACATTCTTTATCAATTTTGGTTTTAGATGAATTCCTACTGTGTTTTTAAAGCAAGAGGTACAACATCACGGGCCTGGTGACGTCTGACAACACCTTCGGCTGAGCAGAGCTGCAGGGCTATAGAGAGTTAATGACAAGGGTGCAAGCAGCCAGCTGTGTTACAGCTGCTGTCACTCCAGTGTACAGTGAGTGGTGTCTCAATGACCAAGTTTCAGAGTAGCAGCCGTGTTAGTCTGTATCCGCAAAAAGAACAGAAGAAGTGGGCTGTAGTCCACGAAAGCTTATGCTCTAATAAATTTGTTAGTCTCTAAGGTGCCACAAGTACTCCTGTTCTTTTTTCAATGACCAAGGCTCATTGAGTGAGCATTGAGAGGACTCTGATCATTTCAGTCCATGCCCAAGATGAAATGGGAGTGATACCTAGACAGCGTGCAGTGAATGAGTAGCCATGGTCATAGAAACACTGATGTGAAGAAGAGTCATTACAGGATAGAGACCCTGGAGCCAATACAGGGGCAGAACCATCAGTCCTGTCTGCCTCCTCTGAGTAATCATTCCAGGGAAAGAAAGCTCCATTGATGGAAAAGTAAGGGAAGTGCAGAACTAGGAGTAAGGAACAGGGAGACTAAATTATCTTCCCAGAATAGCTTCACAGTACAGTTGGGAACTTCTGCGGGGAGCAGTGTGGGTTGAAAGCCAGAACTGAATTAGCATGAATGCAGATATCAATGAATGCAAGTAAATCACACAAAGGGAACCAGAGATTAGAATATTGCAGGGCTCGCACAATCTATTTGCCATTAATGATTGGAAAGTTTCCCGGGTGAATGGGGGACTAAAATTAATTGGTTTAGGCAGGAGTTCACTTTGAGGCACCCGGCTTCAGGGACCATCTCTGCACTGGCCTCTAGGGCAGTAGTTGCCCCAGTCAGGGAGTTGTCATGGGGTGGACCATACCTCAATGTGCAAATTGTTTTATGGACATCTGCTCTCCTAGTCATTATTGCTGACCCATCTCCCCTCCCTCTAGTGATGCAATATTATCCCTGAGGATAACTGCTGACATGAAAGAGTGATATTAGGACAGTATTTAATGTGTTTTAGATTCTTTGAATGTGATTTGACATCTGGAGAAAAGGAGGTAAGCCAGTATCATGTGGCTAGCCAGCATTCTGCAGACCAATTTGCAAACCATCAGCCTAGGTGATCTAATGTGAACGCCTGGCCTACGTGATCCAGCTCTGATTTCTAATTCCAGAATTGACCAATAAAAACATGTAGTTACTTTCTTAGGCACTTGCCCAACCTATAACCTGATACCCAGATTCTGGTGGCTTTGGATTCTATCCTAAAGCTGGGCTAAGGATTGTTAGGCTCCGTATTTTCTTTTCCTTGGAACTGTAAGAATAAGGATCCATTCCCCTAGAGCATCATCGCTATCAACACTTCCCTGCTCTGAGTGGTGGCACTCTTTAGACCTGCCTGCCTGTGAGCACGATGCTAAGGCATAGGGAGCGGATTATCTAAACACAGCCAGACTAGGAATACAGAACATAGGAAGAGGCATTCTGGCTCAGAACTCCTGTCTCTCTAGCACAGTGTCCTGTCTCTGACATTTGCCAGCACCACATGTTTCAGAAGAAAGTGTAAAAAATGAAGTTTACTTACCTGTAACCGAGGTCCTTTGTGCATCCTCTGCATATTCCCACTCCTGGGATGTGCCAACCAGTGCAGCCTGAACAGTAAAATTCTACTAGCAATAGCTGCTGGAGCATCCACGCAACTGCCTCCTTACCTCTCCCACACCCCTGAACTCTGGTCATTCTAGGGCAAGGGTTTAGAAAGGAGCATGCCGCTCCACTGCCTCAATTCCATTCCCCAGGATCCCAAGTTCTTTGATAAGTAGGACTTCAAGGTAGTGTGGAAAGATGGGCAGGGAATGTGAATATGCAGAGTCTGTTTTGAAGAACCTCGGTTACAGGGAAGTAACCTTAACTTCTTCTTTTGAGTGTCCTATGCATATTTCCACTCATGGGTCAGATTAATAAGCAGTATTGTGACCCAGGATAATGGGAGCTGGAGTTCTAGTTAAACAAGGAGTACACGAATGCCCTGTCAAACTTTGCATCCGATCTAGATTGCAGGTCTACAGAATAAGGTTTAGTAAAAGTTGAACAGAACACCAGGTTGCTGCTCTACATCTCTCTAACAGGGGAACATGTCTAGAGAAAGCCATGCAAGATGCCTTTGATCTAATTGAATGAGTTCTGATGCCCTGTGGAATGGATAATCCCGACAATTTATAAGATTCATAAATACCTAATCTACAGGGAGTCTGTACAGAAATAGCTTTCCTTTGTTTTTTGGTCCATGAGCTATAAACAGCCTTGAAGACGGTCTAAACTGTTTAGTCCTGTCTAACTAAAAAGATAATACTCTTCTCACATCTAATGTGTGTAACTTAGCTTCTCTATCTGGAGTATGGGATTTGAGGAAAAATTATAGATTGATATGTGAAAATCAGAGACAATTTTTGGTAAGAACTTAGAATGAGTGCAAAGAACATCTTTATCCTTATGAAACACAGTAAACGGTGGATCAGCCATTAATGAATGCAATTCACATGCATCTTATGGAAGTGATTGCTATCAAAAATACTATTTTTACAGATAAACAAAATAACAACCGCTCTCCAGAGGTTCAAAGGGAG